GAGGTGGGGGGGGGGGGAAGATATTTGCTGCTCTTACCCAACAAAAAAAAAAAACCCCAACAAACTCTGTAGTTTGTCGATAATGCCACTCCTCCATGTATACAAAACAGTGCACCCCTGGGCGGACACCCTCCTCTGCCCCACCCTTCCTGCGCCAGTGTACAACGTGTGTTGGCATACGCTGTGTGTTGATATACACAGTATGCGGACATACACTGTATGTTGATATAGACAGTATGTAGATATACGCCGTGTGTTGATATACGCAGTGTGTTGACATACACGGTATGTTGATGTACTAGAAGTGAAATACATACTAAGTTCATAATTGACGTCATGACCCCCCCCTACCCATTAGTTACTCATCCGTGAAAGGCCAACATAAAATAAATGTCCTCTGGCTATCCAATACATTTTACGGATGATCAGCAGTTATGGAGTGAGACATTTTAAAATCGAGGCTGCACAAATCATGCTGCTACGATTAGTTCAAACACTGACATATTGTGATCAATTAAGCGTTTGTTACTGTTTACATCTATGTACGTTTGTATATATAGATATATATATATATTAATATATATATAATTTGGGAAATGTAACAGTTAACATATAAAGCTTTAGATTTGTAGTGTAGTAGTAATATAATATTGAAGAGTAGCCACGTGATGAGGGTCGGGTCTAACGCTACCTGCCAAGAAAATTGGACGCCCATGCAAAAATTAAAAAAAAAAATAAATAAAACGACAACATGTTTTTTTTATCAAAACTTAAAAGATTTTCCCGGTAGATCAATGATTTGTTTATACTCCATTTTCCAGGTGCATCGTCTGCAATACATTTCCAATGGGAGTCGCTTAGTCACTTCCTTGTTTGGTCACGTGATATGAGTAAGTCATCACTAGGCTGCAACACACAACAAAAGATACTTCATCAGTGCTTCCCCAATGTTATGTTAATTAAAAATTTTACCTTTCGTAATATTATGGAATGCAAGCGTTTTTTAAATGAAATACATAAATGTGACAATAAATATACGTCAGTTATAATTAAAGGAAGAAAGTTATTTCAAGAAAAATTTGTGAGCGATATTCGATGGGAACTATCAATACTATTATCGGCAGGATGTTGTTGAGCTCCGTGCGTGCTCATGACGTCATTTGCGTTTTTATTCAATATTGATGCAGGAGTCATTCCCCTTTGTTTATTTTATTGTTAATTTTCATTGGACGAAATGTAGTGTAGTTGTAGTGTGTATCGGGCTACTGTTGTCAAGCACTAGTGTGTTGTATACAGTATACCGGAAATCTTACTCGTTTTTACTCATATCACGTGACAAAATAATTGACTAAGCGACTCCCATTGCCAACAATTTATTCTTGCGGGTTATGTAACTAAGAGAAACAAATTTATAAACATCCATAAATAACGCATTAGGGCGCCAAGATTTCTTGGTGCTGGTAAGCCAAGTTGCGTGCACGCCATTTCTGAATTTGTTAAATAAAAAAATAATTTATGTAGAGACAATTAATGGAATGTGAAAAGTCAAGTGAAAAGTTGCGTGGAAAAAATATGTATACTCTGGAGCAAGATGAGAAGAGTCACAACCTATTAACCTATTGCACAAGACAGCACTCAACCAAACCCCCCCCACCCTCCCCTCTGTTTCTGGTAAGGGGTGGAACCATAGACATTAGCCGGGTCGACTGATTTTGTAGGCGTCGTGTGATATGTATTCGATTAGCAGGATGAAACAGCTCTTACAAACGAGCAACAATTAGTAGTACACTTATTTAGTACTGATTGTTTTAAAACGATTGTAAGTAACCTACTGGATTTATAAAAAACTATGGGAATTACTGCATTTATAAAAACTATGGCAAACTATGGTACAGAGGCGTAGTCCCCTTTTCTTTTTCAACTCTCAAACCCATTTATTTTCATCAATAAAATAATATCAAAGCACATTTTGGCGCCCCTAACTAGCTGGCGCCCGGAGAATATGTCCCTCCCCCTCTTCACTACGCCTCTGCCATGGAAACTACTGCATTTATTTTTTTTTTAAAATGGGAACTACTGCATTTATGGGAACAATGGGAACTACTGTATTTAAAGAAACTATGGGACATATTGCATTTAAAAAAAAAGAACTATTGGAACTATAGCATGTTTTAAAACGATTGCCAAAGGGATTTTTTTATGAGTACAATCGACGCGTACGCAAATTTGCTCAGCCAACTGCCTGTTGGTAAAATGTCAAGTTTGTACAAGTTAGTTTATATCACTATAAACTACTCGTCATCCACCCGAAGTGGGTACAAAATACATTTCAATGTTCTGAAAAGTTCGACATTTAACACACACACACAATTGTTTTCCCCCCTCTAAGGTTCCGCGTATCTGTGAACATAGCAAGCAGTTTGACAGGCAAGTTGAAACACTGGCCTGCATGGGCAATCGATCCTGTCGACCTTCAGCTGGCCTTTAGTTGAGGCAAGGGATTGTGCATGACCAGAACTGGCCTTTATTTGAGGCAAGGGATTGCATGAGGAAACGACCTTCAACTGGCCTTTATTTGAGGCAAGGGATTGCATGAGGAAACGACCTTCAACTAACCTACATTGAATTGGATAAACTATTCTACTGAATTATTTGAATTAAAGTTTAAAAACGACCTCCGACCTCCCAGCCCCAATTTTGTCACGTGAAATGATTCGTTCGTGAAATATATTAGTACGCGAATAGTAAGTGAAATAGATAAGTACGTGAAATAGTAAGTGAAATAGATAAGTACGTGAAATAGATAAGTACGTGAAATAAATTAGAACGTTAACAAATTAGTACGTGTAATCTGATTTTCAATAATTAAATGAGTAGGGCTCCCTATGTCAGAGAAAGGCCCTATACCTGAAAGGGCCCGTGTTTATCTAATGTCCAAGAGTCCCTTATTTAAAAATACTTAAAATCCCATATTTATTTAATATTTAAGGTCCCCATATGCTTGAGTGACATACCTGAAAGGTAAAAAAAAAATAATGTCAAAGTGCCCCTTATGTCAGAGTGACATCCCTGAAAGTGCCTATGCTTATCTTATATCAAAGGGCCAAATATGTTGGAGTGACATACCTGAATTTATAATTTCATTAACCATAAAAGTGATTTAATTGAATGTGTCTCCTCCACTAAATAAATTATTTACATGTATTACATAACACAGGTAACGAGGTGTGTTACAACTAGAGACCGACCGAATTTCGGCTTCGGCTTCGGCGCCGAAAGTGGCCATTTTATCACTTTCGGCCAAGTTTCGGTTTCGGCCGAAACTGAAAAGTTAACTTTCGGCTTAATTTCGGTTTCGGCCGAAAGAGAAAGGTTAACTTTCGGTTTTTCTTCGGTTTCGGCCGAAATTGACTTAGACTTTCGGCCATCCGGCCGAAAGTGACTCAGGTTTTCGGTCATCTAATAATCAGCGAAAACGATATTTAACAACAAACTAAGCGACATTTAAGAACAAATTAAGCGATCTTTGAGATCAAACTAAACGATATTTAAAACGAACTAAGCGATCTTTAAGAACAATTTAAGCGATCTTTAATAACAAACTAAACGATCTTAAAGAACAAACTAAACGATTTTAAGACCGAACTAAATTATCTTTAAGAACAAAACAAATGATCTTTAATAGTAAACTAAATGATTTATAAGAAAAAACTAAGCGATCTTTAACGGAAAACTAAATGCTCTTTAGGAACAAACTAAAAGATCTTTAAGAACATACTAATCGATCTTAAGGAAAAAATCAATTATCTTTAAGAACAAACTAAGGGATCCTAATGAAAAAACTAAGCGATCTTTAACACAAACTAAGCAATCTTTATGAACAAACTAAACGATCTTTAACAACAAACTAAGCGAT